AAAAAAAAAAAAGAAAATTAGCTGGGCGTGGTGGTGCATGCCTATAGTCCCAACTACTCAGGAAGCTGAGGGGGAAAGACTGCATGAGCCTAGGAGATCGAGGCTGGGATGATCCATGATTGTGCCACTGGCACTCTAACTCGGGCAACAGAGTGAGACCTCAACTCAAAGAAAAAAGAAGGTCCCCCCAAAAAGTACTCAGAATAATTACTGTCAGACAATTGCAATTCTCTTTGTAAAATAAATTCCATTTGGCAGATATTCTGCTTATGTAAAAACTAAGTTGTAATTTTAAAGCTATTATCCATGTATGTACGGAATGCCTTGTATTCCAGAATATAAATACTTGATCTAATTAAACTAAATTGAGATTTTGGCAGAAGAGTTCCTTTTATTTCCATAGACACACTCAACAAAGACTCTCTAGTTTGTAATTAAGCAAAATAACAATGAATTCTATAGAAGTAATCGAACTTCATGTACATCTAACAGCTTGCTTTATTAAGAATGTGATAACGCTGGGTCCAGTGGCTCACACCTGTAATCCACTTTGGGAGGTGAGGAGAGAGGATTGCCTGAGCCCAGGGGTTCAAGACCAGCCTGGGCAACATGGTGAGATCTCGTCTCTACAAAAATAAAAAAAAAAATAAATAAATAATTAACTGGGCATGATGGCGCATACCTGTAGTTCCAGCTTCTTGGAAGGCTGAAGTGAAGCAGGATTGTCAGAGCCTAGCAGGTCAAGGCTGCAGTGGCCACGAGTGTGCCACTGCACTACAGCCTGGGTGATAGAGTGAGACTCTGACTCAAAAAAAAAAAAGAACGTCGTGATAAGATTTCTTCAAATCGTGACAGAAAATATAATCTCACACTTTTTTGAATAGTAAAATCTGCCCAAAACAGATGTTTGTCATTTTTATAATTTTCACAACTTCACAGAAAACAGGCTTTGTCAAAGGCACTGACTCATTTCCCTTACACCTAAACATATCGTTAAGGACATTCACAGTAATGAAAACTGTTTCAAATTAATGCTATCTAAAATACACAGAAGCATGATGTTCTTTTCTTTTTTTTTTTTTTGAGTCAGGGTCTCACTCTGTCACCCAGGCTGGGGTACAATGGCAGCTCACGGCCATCGCAGCCTCGACCTGCTGGGCCCAGGCAATCCTTCCACCTCAGTCTAACAAGTAGTGGGAATCACAGGCATGCACCACCACGTCCAGCAAATTTTTTGATTTACTGTAGAGATGAGGTCTCGCCATGTTGCTCAGGCTGGTCTCCAACCCCTGAGCTCAGGCAATTCTCTCACCTCCATCTCCCAAAGTGTTGGAATTGCAGGCATGAGCCACCATGCCTGGCCAGCATGTTTTTACTCAACGGCTTCTGTGCTGATTAGCAAGCATTTTCTTCTAGCTACTGGAAGTCAATAAATTTGAATTGAGATCTGAGTCTTACATGCAATGTCATCAACTCACACCCAGAACTACTCCCATTAGATGAGAAATGCGCATGTGGCACTGGAACCCAGAACTTGTAAACACTGATGAACTCAATGGATCAGTTGATTTTCATCCCTTAAGGAAAATAGTTTATGCTCAAGAAACCCTCATGTGCCTGAGTTAATTCATTCTAAACTCCTCTTTAAAACAAAAATGTCCTTCCCCCATCTCACCTCTACCCTGAAAAAAAAAAAACACCACCACCAACACAACTTAGATTCTATAAAAAGAATTATGAAATAGGTTAAACAACTCCAGTAATATTGATCTCATAAAGTAATTAGTTTAATTTGCATTTTTAACAAATACCCTAAACTTCCTTTATTTTATTTTTGATTCGGAGTCTCACTCATGGCCACTGCAGCCTTGACCTGCTGGGTTCAGGCGATCCTTCCGCCTCAGTCTTCCAAGTAGCTGGAACCACAGGCTAATTTTTTATTTACTGTAGAGACAAGGTCTTGCCAAGTTGCCCAGGCTGGTCTCAAACCCCTGAACTCAAGCTATCCTCTTGCCTCCGCCTTCCAAAGTGCTGGGATTACAGGTGTAAGCCACTGCAACTGGCCTAAACTTCCTTCAAATTTCAGTTGATAATACTAAAGATAATAGTAATGAAATTTCAAACACTACACTTTCAAGCTTTAAAAACAGAAAAAAATTCAAAGAATGTTTACTGATGGTCGGCTGGACATCAATTCATTCCTTGAAAAATAAGTATATTTAAATTGTATGTTTTATAAGTAAAACAAGTAAAAACAAAACCTGCAACATAAAAATCCTGTTCATATACTGTTGCCACTGATTTTTTTTTTAGTATACATGTTTTATTTTTATTTTTATGAGTTGGAGTCTCACTCTTTGTCACCCAGGCTGGAGTGGAGTGGCATGCTCACAGCCACTGAAGCCTCGACTTGCTAGGCTCAGGTGATCCTTCTGCCTCAGCCTTCCAAGTAGCTGGAACTACATATGCTCACCACCACGCCTGGCTAATTTTTGAGATTTATCCTAGCGATGAGGTCTCACCAAGTTGTCCAGACTGGTCTGGAAACCCCCAGAATCAGGCAATCCTCTCGCCTCAGCCTCCCAAAGTGCTGGGATTATAGGCTAAGCCACCGCACCCAGTCATTTCACTTATTTTTAAAAAGCTTTAAAATAGCCGCACTACAGAGAATTCATCTATACTCTTTACTGATGAGAGAACCAAAGCTACCTATAGCTGGCATGTTTATTATGTCACGTTTCCTGTAAGTGAAAAAAAAAAGCTCTATTTTTAAAATGAAGACAGAAACAGAAAGGTACATTAAAAATACCAGAAAACTGACAAGAATCTTGAATATGAATTCACACAAAATGGCTCAGTAATTTTGAGTGGTTAATAGATGTGAAACCCCTCAAGGCTGAGGCGGAAGGATCGCCAGAGCCCAGCAGGTGTAGGCTGTGGTGGCCGGGAGCGGCCACTGCACTCCAGTCTGGGCAACCGAGTGAGACTCCAACTCAAAAAAAAAAGAAAAGAAAATGAAAAACACTATGGTTTAGATGTTTTAGAACTATATTTCAGTAGAGGCCTGTGAAGGAACTGTTATAGAGCAGCTAAAAATCTAGTTCTTTCTTATTTGCTGATTTCTGTACCTGTTTTTTTTTTTGTTTTTCTTTTTGAGTCAAAGTCTCACTCTGCCAGTCACACCCAGGCTGGAGCACAGTGGGATGCTCACGGCCACCAAAGCCTCCACTTCCTTGTGGACAATCACTCTTGGTTAATTTTTTTATTTTTTGTAGAGACAAGGTCTCACTATGTTGCCCAGGCCAGTCTTAAACTCCTGGGCTCAAGCACTTCTGCCACATAGGCCTCCCAAAATGCTGAGATTACTGAGATTACAGGTGTGAGCCACTGCACCTGGCCTGTCCCTGTTTTAAAATTTAAACACACAGCATATGTAAATCCAGTCAACTCGGAAAATCTTCTCAAACTATTGTAAATGCATGTTTATAAACTATAAATTCTAATTTAACACTTTTAGGCAAATTAGAATCATAGCAACATTCTAAAGTTTAGAAAATGGTTTTCTGGATTATTTTCTAGTTTATAACTAAAAGAAGCTCGAACCTTTCAATAATTAGAAAGCTAAAATTAAATTATTATTCAGTTACTTTTACTAATAAAAAAACTACTTTTAAGAATAAGCAGCCTGGGCCGGGCTCGGTGGCTCAGCCTATAATCTCACACTTTGGGAGGCTGAGGTGAGTGGATTGCCTGAGCCCGCGGGTTCGAGACCTGCCTGGGCAACTTGGCGAGACCTCATCTCTACAGTAAAATCAAAAAATTAGCCGGGCATGGTAGCGCGTGCCTGTAGTTCCAGCTATTTGGAAGGCTGAGGCGGAAGGATCGCCGGAGCCCAGCAGGTAGAGGCTGCGGTGGCCGGGAGCAGCCACTGCCCTCCAGTCTGAGTGACAGAGTGAGACTCCAACTCAAAAAAACAAACAAACAAACAAACAAAGAATAAGCAGCCTGGATGAGTGGCTCACACCTGTAATCTCAACATCAACAATCTGGGAGGCCTAGCGAGAGAGGATGGCTTGAGCCCAGGAGTTTGAGGCCAGCCTAGGTAATATAGTGAGACCTCATCTCTATAAAAAATAAAAACATTAGCCAGGGGTAGTGGCATGTGCCTGTAGTCCCAGCTACTTGGGAGGCTAAGACAGAAAGATCTGAGCTCGGGAGGCCAAGGTTGCAGTGAGCTGTGATCATGCCACTGCACTCCAGCTTGAGAGATAGAGTGAGACTCCAACTCAAAAAACAAAACAAAAAGAATAACCAAAACTTTTAATTAGTCCTCATGTATGGTATATTCACTGAAGCATTTAGAATAAGTGACAAAACAAACCAAAATTTAAATTATGTACTAGCTTGCTACAGACTGAATTGTTTCCTCCCAAAATTTACATTTTGAAGCCCTAATCCCCAATGTGATTGTATCTGGAGATGGGGTCTTTGAGAGATAATTAAGTTTAGATGAAGCAAGAGGGTGAGACTCTCATGATGGGATCAGTGACTTTATAAGAGACAAGAGAGCCTGACCCTCTCCCTCTGCTAGTGAGGACAAGAGGACGGACAACTATCTGCCAGCCAGGAAGAGCCCTCACCAGAATAAAATATGCTGGCACCCTTATCTTAGACTCCAGCCTCCAGAACAGTGGGAAAACAAACTTCTGTTGTTTAAGCCATCCCAGTCTATGGTAATTTGTTATGGCAGCCAGAGCAGATTAAGATACAGCTGATTTTATACAAAATATCCATACATGGAAGTGGTAGAGGTGTATAACAAAAATTAATGTGATCTTCCCAAATAAATGTTCATCATGTTTTGTTGGACAGTTTCAGGGACTCTTACAAGTTTATTTGGTCTTTATTTAGCCAGGATATTATAAACCGGTTATTTTCCCAAAAAGTTTGCTTTAGGCCAATTAGAACCAGATCAGGATTTGCAGTGACTTGTACCCTAAGAAACTGGAATGCATAACACACACCATGGAAACATTACACATCTGCACCATTAACCAAAATGAGTGGAGATGATTTAAACACTAAAATGCTCTCCAGCAAAGAGGCACAGCACAAAGTCCAATTCTGTCAAAATTTAACAAATTTAGCTTATTGGTAAGAATGAAAGTAACTCTTTACTTTGGAAAATATGATCTGTTTTTATACTGCACACTAGCATAGTTCAATAAACTGTTCTGGCACCTTTCGCGGATCAGCAATTTTACCACTGCCCATAGAGATCGTTGAATAAAACATGTAACATTTCGTGACCCGCCTGGGCAGGCGAGACCGCATCTCTACAATAAATCAAAAAAACAGCCGGGCGTGGTAGCGCGCGTCTGTAGTTCCAGCTACGTGGAAGGCTGAGGCGGAAGGATCGCCGGAGCCCAGCTGGTCGAGGCTGCGGTGGCCGGGAGCGGCCACTGCACTCCAGTCTGGGCCACAGAGGGAGACTCCAACTCAAAAAAACCAAAACAAAACATGTAACATATTTTTGTCACAAGACTTCACCAATCCACAAGATTTCTCCTTAAAGAATACCCTAAAACCAGCTTATTTTAAAACGTCTCCAGTCGTTTCAAACTACTCTGGGGCGGGGGGGACGGAAGGAGGGGGAAGGAGAGTGAGGTAGTCATTTTGAAAATATTCACTCAGTGGAAAAGGAAAAAATGTACCCCCAGATCGGTACGTTGGCGCTAGATGAGGGTCCTCCTGACGCTTCTGATCCGATGAGTTTTAACTCGTTAGGCTCGGAGGAACGTCCATTATTCTAGGAGCGAATGGGGCGCGCGCTTCAACGCCAGAAACGCTAAATGATGTTTCAAACTGCGATGCTGACACCATAACTCGGTGTACAAAGGAGTCGTTTCCAACCCACAGGCTGCATATGCACTGCGTGTGCATCTCGGTGTGTGCAACATATGTATTTCGCGGACCTGGAAGCAGACACGCTGCGCTCCAACAGCGGATCCCGCAGGGGAGGGCTGCGCGGGGACGACACTCAACCGGGGGCCACTCCAACAACGTAAAGGCAGAACTCGCTATTTTACATCAAAAACATAATACGTGGGGGGATCTCAATCCGCCGAAAACTGAAATCGTCACTCCGCGGCCCCTCCAGCCACGGCCCAGCGTCCGCCCGGCGCGGAGGCGACAGTTTCGGGGGACCCAGCACACCCGAGATGGGAACAAAGCAGCCGGGAGCGGCGGGAGGGGCTCTCGGGCCGGGCCGGGCCGGGCGGAGACGGGCACCCCGGGGAGGCTCGTCGCGGCCCAGGGGGCGGCAGCGCCGTGCCCGTCCCACCGCTATCCGTGCAGCCGGCGAGGCGACCCCGAAGGCCCCCAGACGCCCACCACGCCCCACGAGACACTCCCGTCACCGCGGCTGGGCCAGGACAGCGGGACCCGAGGCCCGTCTGACGCCGCTGGATCGCGGCCCACTGCTGCCCACCCGCCTGCACCCGCCGCGCCGTTGGCGAGCCCGACCCCCGGCGCCCACCTGTTGGTCGCACTCGGGGCACGATTTGGTGGCCATCTTCACTTTCTTGGCTCGAGTTGCAGACATGCTCCTCTCCCTCGTCG